TTCTGGGGTAAGGTTAGCCAGGCTTCGCTGAGGCTCCAAGAACCAAGAGGAAGAGGTGACAGGCAGGCAGAAGAGCCACTGTTGGCTGAATTCCTCTGTGGACATCCTGGGAATCTTGCTAACTCTATGTACATTCGCTTATCTAATCCTCACGAGAGCTCTGTGAGGTGGGTACTACCATGATCCCCATCTAAAACCTGGAGAATTTATGAGGCTGAATCTGTATCTGCTCAGCTGCCCCTGACCACCTCGCATACTGTGATTTTTTTTTTTTTCCCTTTCTTGTCCTGAAAGACAGAGGTCAGATTTCTGTGACAAAGCATAAAGGGAAAGACATTTTTGATTAACAGAATTTATGGGAAGATGCCATTTTTGTGTGTTTCTCTGTGCAAGAAACGCCATTTGGAAAGCCGGTGTGCATGTCAGTATCTTTTTTTTTTTTTTTTCATTCTGAGAAAAAGCCTATAGAGTCTGGTGGGGGGAGGGTTTGCAGCTGGCAGGAGCTTTGGCATATGTTGTAACTAAAAAGAGAGGGAATGTGTTGGTGGGACGAGCTACCGGAGAGCTGTCTCGGTGTGCTGTGGTACTAGTAAGTGTTTTAATTGGGTAGGGTTTTTGGAGGACTATTTTGACATCTGCTCGTGTCTTTGCTGATTTTTCTTCACTTAGAGTAGGAAACACAAGCTGTGGATAAAATGACTTTAAAATAATTGGAAGTAAAGATATCTCTCTCAAAGTCGAATTTGAGAGGGACACTCTTTAAGAAGTGGAAAGGAAATTCCACTTCGAGGAATCCATCCTAAAGCATAGGCTTTATGCCTACAGATTTCTCAACAATATTTATAATATTTTCTTAAAAACTGAAAATAGTCAATAAAAGGGACTTGATTGGGTTTGTTTCTAAGAAGTGGAACATTTTGTAGCAATTAGCAATGATCTTCACGAAGCTTTTAATGAAGTGAAATATTGTTTATATTGTAATAAATGAGAAAATCAGAAAGAAACATTATGAATTGCTTCAACTGTGTTTTTAAAAGGAGGTATTGGGACAGAGAGTTATAGAAGGAAATACACCAAAACATTATCTCCAAGGGGAAGATTAGGGTAACCACAGTTTTCTTCTTTGAACTTTTTTGCCTTTCCAATTTTTTTTTAACATATGTATTTTTTCTGCTTTTTATTTTGTATTGGGGTATAGGTGCTTAACAGTGTTGTGATAGTTTCAGGTGAATAGCAAAAGGACTCAGCCATATATATACATTTCACTTACATAATTTTTATGATACAAAAGACAAGGGTCCTTTTGCATAAGAGGAAGCAAGCCCTGAGAGTGTTGGTGTAGCTGCATGCCCTATATAGATACTTGTTCTGAAGTCTGAGCAACTGATTTGAGGACGTCTTCAGAAAGAGTCATTTTGAGTTTAAAAATCGGCTCCGTCATTCCTTATCTGTGTGATCTGGACCACTTTCTTTGAGCTCTCTGAGCCTCCTCCTTTGATATCGCCCCCATAGCATGGTCAGGGTTAAAGGCAGGCATACAGTAATGGCCCAGTTTCCTTCTCCATCAGCACTACCCACCCACCCCCCAGCTTGAGAGGTTTTGTGGGTTTTGTTTTGTTTTTTGCCTTTTTTCCTCTTGTTTCCTTGAGCCTTTCAAGGATAGGGCACCATCCGGCCAAGCTGGCCTCCGATTCTTTCCTTGGGAACATGAGCCTCAGGAAGGCCCTTGAGTCCACGCCAGCCCCTTTGGAAGAGGCCTTGCCACCAGGAGGGCAGCATTGTCCTATGAGAGGAAACTGTGCCGACCCAGCTCCTCCTGGAGCCTGGTGCACAAGCATTTTGGTTACTAGGGGGACCCTGGCCTGCTAAGTCAGAAAAAAGGGCCAGGTTTTTTCCTCTTCTTCAGCCTACTGCCATTGTTCAAAAAGTAAACACTCCACACAGCTTAAGCAGCAAGTCCTCCAGCCAGGAGTGGGAAGAAATCAAAAGCCTGCTCCAGCCCAGCCATGGAGAGCCTACAAGGGCTGGTCTGTGCTGTGGGGCCCTACTGGGAACGCAGAAACAACACCCGATCCTGGTCCAATATCAACAGCCTTGTCGCTGGGCCTTTCAGCCCAGGCTTCTCTGCAGCGGCCAGACCTCTTGCCCCCATCTGTTTGGGGCTCTCTGGAGCTCTTTGGAGGTCAGGTGAGGCAAAATCAGTAATTGCGGGGTGCAGCAGCCTGGAGTCCTTGGCTAAGTTCTGGAGCCCCCCATGACCCCTTCTCCCTTTCTGTGTCCAGTGCCAGGGTCTCTGCCTTTGAAGTGAGGGCCCAGCAGTTACCAGAAGGGACCAGAGGATTTTTGCCCTTAGGCCACTGCCACTGTAGTTTCCAAACTGGGGTCATGGCTGATGTGTATATTATAATAGCAATAATAAAAGCTATTATAAGGCTACTGTATGCCCAGTGCTATGTGCACACCACCTCCAGTCCTCACAGCAGTCCACAAGGACGAGGGCTAGGAGGACCAGTCACAGTTACCTTCTTGACTTTACAGATGAAGGGGCCAATTAGTAACCATATAACCTTGGGCAAGCCCCTTCACCTCTCTGAGACTCAGTTTCTCATCTATGAATTGGGGACGCCTCATCTCCAGCTACTGCTGAGAATGAAAGAATCTGTGTGAAAATGCTTTGTGAACTCTAAAATGTGATGTAAGTGAAAAAGATTCTCATTGAGGCTGTTTTTGTCACTCCCTGCTTGTGTACTGCTAAGTATTTAACCTGTTAGATTGCAAAGTAAGACAGCTAAGGAGCTCTGGACAGCTCCTCATGAGTCTTAATGTTCTCAGCTGTAAAATGGGGTTGCGCTTTGTAAAATACTAGTTATCAATGCTGTTTGCTGATAGCTTTTACCCTATGAATAAACCAGTCAGTTAATATGAGCTTTGGGGTTTAGAGGAAAAAATAAACCTCTAAGTAGGCAATCTTGTCCCTCCCCTGTGGCTCTCCACCCACAGGAAGCATTTAGTAAATGTATGAAATGATTGATAGATATGTGGACTAGCCCGTGGAGATGTCAACAGCAGAAGAAATTTGAGGCTGCTGGTCTTGTTGAGTGGAAGAGTTCCAGGACCCTGCCCTCTGGGAGTATTGTTTCAACCCTAGGAGGCTTCTCACCAGCATGGCTCCATCCCCCTGCTAAGAAAAATCTCAAAATGTTTACTTAGGTACCAAAGTCTGTCCTCGAGGCTGGGATTTAAGGCAAAAAACATCAACCAATATTAATGAGCGCTTACCAAGTGCCAATCATTTTGTCGAGTGCTAGTTATTATGCAGTGCTGAACCAAACGGATGAGTCCCTGAGGGAACCTATACCCGGTGGGGGGGGGGGGGGGGGGGGGGGGGGGGGGGGGGGGGGGGGGGCAGGCAGGTCAAGGGGTGCTAGGGCTCAGAGCAACAAGGATGGCAGAATTTGGTTTCTCTCGGGGTGTCTGACAACAAGGAGGCTAAAGTGTGGTGCAAGGGCACAGGCTGTGTAGGTGGCCACTGCTGTGTTACCTCTGCCACTCACCTCACCTCTCTGAACCTCATTTTCCTCAAATTACCTAAAATGAAGATAATAGGGTACACTTTGCAGGGACTGATAAAAAATTAGTAAGTAAAGCATAGAACATGAGCTAGTAAGCATCTATTACACTGTAATTGTTGTCCTTTTCCAGGGCATTAGCAAGCATAGGCTTTAGCAGCCGTTGGGACATCCAGCTCCATCACTAACCCATACAGTGCTCTTGGATGAATTAGGAAAGGGCATCTCCTCTCTCCCTCCACCAGCACCTACCCCCACCTTCAACTGATGCCTGTCAGCAAGCTCATAGGTTGGCAGATCTCATCCTCAGCTTGGCCAGCTGGGCGTGCTGGGCAGTGTATACCTGCACAGTCATACCCAGTAGCTCAGAGGTTGGCTGATAATGAAACTGACCCCTTCTACATAGGGTGACCACATAGCCCATCTTACACTGCTGCTCTGGTATAATATACTCCTTCATATCCACAAGTATTCCAGTTTGGACCACAAATTACAGGGTCTTTCTGCTTAATCAGGACAAAATGAAAGTTCCAGACTCTAAAGAAATGAGCTTTGATATATAACAGGGTAAGAAGATTGAAGGAGATTGGCAGTAGGAAGTAGGCAAGGGGAAGTAGAGGTGGATTCTAGCAGTGGGTAAATAATGTGATTGAAAAGTAGCTTACTCATAGGCTTGCACTTCTACAAACCACAGAGAGTTATTCCCGGCTTATGGGCTCTTCGTTTCTCCAGACAGTCCCTTCATCCTCTCACCAAATATGAACATCTAGTAGGCACAAGCCTCCCTTACCCTTCTTGTTATTATACTAGTAGAATAATGGGTTATGGCCAGAACCTGAGAGCCATGATTCACTGGATTTCTATGGAAAATGGAACCAAATTGAAAGTATGACCTTTCTACTTAATGTTTAAGAGAAATGTTAATATGTTAACACTATGTTGTACAACGTATTTCATACCCAAGAATGCCAAGATTTTGAGAGAGATGGGCAAGGAATCTTTGGTAAATGAGAAGAGATGAATGGAATGAGACTATGATAAGAGCCTAACTGTATATCTGAGTTCCTGGAGCCAGAGCTTTAAACTTCAGCTTCTTCTTTTTTATTTTAAATTGAAAATATAGGGAAAAAAAAATAATGTTGGGGTGTAAAGATCTCTCCCCCTAGCTGTGTGACCCAGGGCATTTAACTCAGTCTCTGAAACCCTTTTCACTCCTGGGTATTGGGGATAACCATACAAACTCACGGAGTTTTTGAGGTAGTTAGATGACCTCACATGTTAACTGCTTGGCATTGAGCCTGCCACAGAGTACACTTTGTCAGATGTCACTTTTCTTCCTCACTCCCCTTTCCCTGAGGAAGCCAGGGAAATGTCTGTGTCTTCGTGGGACTTCAATGATTTTCTCTTCTGGATTTTTTCTTTTACTTGCAGAAAGTCAGAAACATGGCCCTGGATGATGTCGTGATCCTGAATGTGGACACCAACACCCTCGAAACTCCCTTTGATGACCTCCAGAGCCTCCCAAATGATGTGGTGGGTAATGAGCTCTTGCGTTCTGACTCCCAGGAGCTCCTGCAGTGGACATGAACATGCCTTTGAAGAGACTGCTGTGGTTTTCCTGTGGCCTGGGAACCACAGTTGGTTTTTGTTATTACCTCTGGAACCTTTGTCTCAGTGAAGGAAGTTGGGGGGTGGTTCACTTTTTTAGTTTTGTATTGCTCTCATAACCCTCACCTGAAGTGACCCCAGGGTCTAGATAGCATCTCTTCCTGGGGAGTCAGGGGGTCTTGCCATCCCCATTGCCACTGCCGTGTCCAGAGAACAGAACAACCTCCCCAGGTAACCCCACCAAAGGCAAGCAGAAGGGCTTCAGTGTGAGCAATTTGGGGCACTTCAAGCCTATATTTTTATCTTGTGCCATTGTCAAACCCAGCCATTTCCCATGTGGCAGAGTATCTGCTGCCAGTGTTCTGAATGTGGCTCCACGTGCCCTAAACCTATTTTTTCCTAGTTACCTCGGGACTAGACAGAAGGTGGGCCTATTTAGGGGAAAGCAACTGGCTGCCACATTTGCCACACTGACACCTGACCATACACCTGTCTCACATTGCCACTCAGAGCTGCCTTGTGGGTGGCTATTCAAAGTAGACCCAGTCTCCCCCATCATTCATACAAATGAGGAGGATTGGGATCCCCTCCAAAGTACAGTTCTAATGTTTGTGGTTTAGCATCCATGACTCTGCTTGAGAGAAAGTGTATAAAGTCATGCTGGCTTCCAGACTGGAAGGGGTGGGTGCTCCTAACCGTGTGCACTATGCAGGTCTGGGTTTGTGTGGTGGCCGGTGGGCCCTGCCCTGCCTCACTGCCAGGAGTCCCAGTGGGCCTTGGGGGTTAGCCGCTCGGGAGAGGTTGCTGCCTGTTGATGAATGGCTGGCATCAGGGTTTCAGACTTCTCTGCTCCTAACTGACTGCGAGGTTTTGGGGGGTCATTTGTAAGGATGAGTTACTTGTACCATAGTCAAACAGCAGTACAGTTCACTGACTTTTACATGCTGAACACTCATCATTGACCTTCCATTTACGCTTCATACCTCTTGGAAGGTATTTGTCTTACCCTCACTTTACCCACAGAGCTGAAAAGAAGGGGAGCCGTAGAAGTGAACCCAGCTCTGTCACTCCAGAGCCACCAGCCTCAGTGCCCCTCTAGGTGCCCTCTGCATCTGGGGTCTCATTCAGTAGGTGAGGGAGAGAAGATGCTCAAGGGGCACATGTCTTGCCACTAACCATAAGGCTGGTGAGGGCAGAGCTGTGGTTGGAGCCTGGTGTGGATGACGCCCAGCCCATGCTGCCTCCACTTTGTGTACATGGCCCCCCTCTGAGGCAGAGAGAGATGACAGCATAGGAAAAATGAAAATACCAGCCCTATGAGGTTTGCTGTTGATCAGGATGGGGTATGTGGTTGGTGTCTTTGGACCTCTTGGCTGTAATTTGAGTTCTTTTGATCCAAGTAACTTGAGGTTTCTATTCAACTTCCCTTTCAGTGGAAAAGTTCTCTCTTTAAGTCATGGCTGTCTTAGGTATGGACCTTGTACTTGCTGAGCAAATGTAGAATGTAAACCTGGGGTATTTGAGGTACAGGGAGTGGCTGAGAGCCCCAGGCAGCCGGGGGTGAGTGACTGATGGCTTAGAAACCATGGAGTGGACCAACTATCCCACAGGTGGTGCTCTGACCCCGTGCTGCACTTCGAATAGCAAAGACAAAGCAGATCTAGTCCTTTCCTTCAAAGAGCATGTTCCACTAGGGGAAGCAAATATGTAAATTACATATATCTCAGGGCATAGCATATTAGAGGCCAAAAGGAAATAAGAATCAGACACAGAATTGCCCAGGGGGAGGGTAATGGAGACCTCCTGAAGATGCCACATTCCAAGATGCCTTTTAAATGATCAGGAACCAAATCTTTGGTTCCTGATCAAAAGAACAACTATAAGCAAGTCATTTTCTCTTGCTGAGCTTCAGTTTCCCATCCTTAAAAGAGGAGTACTAGACCTATCATTAGTTGCTGTGGCAAGTAAATGAGATTGTGGTGTTCATCAGATGTTTGGCACTGTGTTCACATGTTGTCAGTGTATGATAAATGGGACCTGCATTTGTCTTTAATAAGATCACTGTCAATAAGTACAGGCAGAGTTAGAAGACAGTTGGTTCCCTCCTTATCCTAACAGTTCTCAGCCTGCATGAAAAAGGACCTCCCATTTACAAGGTGGTTTGTGAAGGGTCCTACAGCAGTGGCTTCCAGAATGGGGCTCTAGACTCATCAAAGATTCCAATATAGTCGTGAGAAGAGACTGTGATCCGTACACTAATCACTGTGATTCGGTGGGATTCATAGATCTGATTCATAGATTTGATTTTTTTTTATGAGAAAACGAGTTTTATTGTTTTTAAAGCTCTTTGTAGTGGGTGTCGATGGTCACCTGCCATACTTGTTCCAGATTGTCTGCTGCAGCCAACAGAGTTTGGCCATCAGCATACAAAGCCACTGGGGTGACTGTGCTTCGCCACTGGTACTGATAACTTCTTGTTTCAGCTCACCTGCAATGACCTTGCCCTCCAAGTCCCAGATCTGGATGCTGGGCCTGTGGCAGCAGAGCCAGTAGCAGTTGGGGCTGAAGCACCGGGCACTCATGATGTCCCCACCATCTGGTGTTGAAAGGTGCTTGCCTTCCTTGAGGCTGTGTGAGCTGTCAGGTCCTGGAGAGGGGGAAATGTTACCCAGCACACCTTTGTCCTCTGCACGTGGTACAGGACTGTGTCCTTTCAATGTATCAGTACGTCCAGTTGACCTCACCATCTCCCCATTTGTCAAAGCTGCTTGTTTACTGCATCTGACAGATTCTGCTTCTTAAAGTTTCTCAAAATTGTCTTTGCCATCCATCCTAAACACCACCGAATCCAAGCTCTTATTCCTCTCCTGCCCTGTTTCCAGCAGCCTCTGAACTGATTCTTCAGATGCCAGCCCTTGTTACTCTTACACCAGACAGCCCTTTCTAAAACATAAATTTATTTCCTCCTACTGAAAACCATTTCATCAATAAACACAATTTTAAGAACAAAAAACAACTTCTGAAAACAAAAATAATCCTTCTATAACCTCCCAATTCCTACAGATTAGAGGCAAGTTTCTTTTGTTGGTTTTGGAATGAGATAGACCTTTGTTTAGATTCTGCCTTCTTCACTTACTTATCATATGATCTTGGACAAAATTATGTAAGCTCTCTGAGGCTTAGTTTCCTTATAAGGTGAGAATTATATGTAATGAACGTAATATGTATAAAGTTCTGTAGGTGGAGTCAATGATGATGAATTACAGATGTGAATGATGGTCAGCATGGCATGCAGGGCCCTCCTTTCTGATAGGATCCTCCCATTTCCTCCCCATAACTTTAGCTCTTTCCTCTCCCTGCTTCAAACCCTATGTTATAGGTGTTTGGAATTAATAATTCTCCCAAGTTTACATGTTGTTTCATTACTTTATACTTTTCATACAGTGTCTTTTGTCCCGAATGTTCTATTCCATCTGTCAATCTCTACTAATTTTATAAGACTTAGACTAAATGTAAGGCTGTAAAAACCTTCTCTGACCTCTCTAAGTAGATTTGACTGTACCTTTCTCTTTGTTCTCAGAAACCCCTGTATTGCTTATAAAATTGCACTTACCATCCAGCAGTATACATTTCTGGCTTTCCCTTTTAATTGTGAGTTCTTTGAGGGCAGGAATCAAGTTTTATTCATCTTTGTTTCTAAGGGATATAGCAGCCACTGAATAGATAGATGGAAGGATGGAAGGGACATATGGATTGGGTTATTTTGGTAGATGAAATCTTGCAAAACATGGCATCCATGCTGGAAATTTTATTAAAAGAGGCCTTTGTTCTGTTCTAGCCACGATGGAATAATTGGAACTGAATTTCTCCTCCCTCCATTTACAAATAAAACTCTAGGCAAATACGAAAACAACTGTTTTCACATATTGGACAACAGGCAGTGCAGGAATATAATCCCTGAGAGAAAGGAAGCAATTGAGATGAAGCCTCTGGTCCTCCTGGCTTTCTGCCTTGAAGCGTTTTCTAGACTCTGTTGCTCGAGGGGACTCCCCAGTGAAGCACAACAGTCTTGCTGAATCAAGGGGTTAGAGATCTGAGTTTGAGGGAAAGGTGGTTTAAATTTGTGGGTCAGAGTACCAGATACAAGGGAGCTACTCGGCAAAAAAAAATCTAAACTGAGTCCTCTTGATTCGTCTGCTGTAGACAGATCTGCCCATGTGTAGAGGGGAGCTCCCGAAGAGCAGGAGTCATTCAAGCTCTAGCCAACCAGGGTAAGGAGAGCTTGTTGACCACTCAGGCAATCATTAGAGACCCCAGAGGCCATGCCCTGGCGGAGTAGTCTAAATTAGCTCTAAAATAAAGGTAATTTTAGCCCTGCCCTCATACAGCTTAAAAATCAAGCCTTGAGGAGCATAAGAGAGGGCTTCAATGATGCTGGTAATGTGCTGGCTTTTGATCTGAGTGCCAGGTACATGAGCAAGAATTTATCAAGCAGGACATGAGTGATATATGTACTTTTATCTATGTATGTGTTAAACTTCAGTAAAGAGTTTTAAATAAAACCATTTCTTTTTAAAACTTATCATGATCAACCTGATATACAGGAAAATGAACCTGTCAAAACAAACTTCTACCCACTTTTAAAAGAGACTAAAAATCTAACAACCAACAATGTAACATTCACAGTATCTAGCATCCTATCAAAAAATACTAGACATATTGAGAATCAGAAATGATGTAATCTATAACCAAGAAAAAATATAGTTAATAGAAACAAACTCAAAAATGACAGCTATGATGGAATTAGCAGATGAGAACCTTAAGGTAGACATTTTAAAAGTTATAAGTATGCTCATGAACTTAAAGACTTGAACTGAATTAGGAGAGAAATGGAAGATATAAAAAGAATGAAAGGGAATATCTAG